ATCGTTCTTGTTATCGTTTTATCGTTATTTACTGAGTAAACAAATCACTTTCTTATCAATTATCTAAATATATATCTATTTAGAAAATCCTCCAACAAGCATTTAATCATGATAGAAAGAAAATTAAAGAACCGTTATCTTTACAACGCGCAAGTGTTGAAAAATTATGAAAACAGTGCTTAGAAATTAACTGTTATGCGAGTGTCTCTCTGTGCGTGTGTGTGTGTGTGTGTGTCGTGTGACAACAACAACAAATTGTGCCTAATTTTAAAACAAGATAAAACAAATATCGTACAAACTAAAAATAACGGCACTTATCAACTGACAAACTAGATGAATTGGCCAAGTGAAAATGGACGCGAAAGGGGGGAAAGCGGGAGAGGGGAAAAGCAACAAATGGCAAATGGCAAAAATTTAACATAAACAAAGGCAAAAGGCAATGCGAAATAATCAATTTTTATGAACAATTATTAAAAATAGCTGGCAACACGAATCGTAAAGCAGCAGCAGCAAGAGCGAAAGAGAGCGAAGTGCAGAGAAAAAGAGAGAAAGCAAGGGGAGAGAGCGGGCAGAGAGAGAGAGAGGGGGAGAGAGGGGGACTGCAACAAGTCGGTGGCCTTTTGAAGTGCAGGGCGGCTTCTTTAATATCGAGTGCGAGACTCGACAATTGCTTGCTGACATGCAAAGTACATAATGTTGTTAAGCCCCCTCTCTCCCCCCCCCCCTTCCTTTCAATATCCGCCCCCCCCCCCTGGTCTACAACGCACTTGATTGATAACAATCAAAGTTATGATGGACCCGAACGGGCACTTTGCCAAAGAGCGCAATTTGCGCTGTCGATTGATTTGTTTACAAGTGCCATTAATGTTACGATCCCCCGCCCCGCCCCTTCCCCCCTTAAATAAAGACCCCCCCTCGTCCCATGCTCGACACCTCTCGCTGCTTGCAACAGGTGTATGTAAATGCCGCCGTCTCCGTCTGCGCCGCCTATGAACAGCATTTCCATAGACAGCTCGATCAATAGCGCTGCACTTTTCCTTATCTAATCAGACTGTGTTTGACTACACTGTAAAAAAAAAATATGGTTGACTTGAATTTGAAGACACTTTTAGATATGCATATAATCTAAGAACGTGGCAGCTCGCTGGTTCAAATTCAACAGTAAAAATAAAGATATGCAAGTTTCCTCTCGATTAAGTAAAGTGAGTGCGCATTTCAACGAAGAGAAGCCTTTTAATTGGTAACTATACGAGAAGGCCAGGATATCTTAGGCAAGCCGAATATTTAATACCCTTCCAGAAATTTGCCTTATAAATTTGCAGATTGTGAGGAAAATGAAGCTCGCAAATGCTGAGATCGATGAAAATATCTTGTGAAACAGAATACTTTGCCATACAAAAACTCATTCTTCGACCGAATCTTTCTATAGAACTATATAATAATATAGTGCGATCTTGATAGAGATTTGGTTCATGTCTATGCAGATAGTTTAGCTCATAAATGCCGGTTCGAGATTTGATCAAGATATCTTGATCTCTCAAGAAGGTCTTTGATCTTGATCTTTCAACGAAGTTTTTCGTACAGGAATCAACCTTTCAAACGATCGTTCATATGGCAAATATATGAAATATAGTTGTCCGATGTTGGTAAGATTTGCTTATACATGTATGTAAGGTGTATAATGAAATTTACAAATGCTGAGTTTGGATAATATATCTTGATAAATAAAAAAATTGGTTTAAACAAGCAGCTATATGATATAGTGGTCCGATCCGACCTGCTCCGGGATATATACTGCCAGCAAAAATGAGGGACTTAGACAAAGTGGCAAGACAATAGCTTTAAGACTTAGAAGCTAGTTCCATAGAAGTAGACTGATGGACAGACGGACAGACAATCAGACAGGGCTATAACTTGTCGGCTGTTGATGCATATCTGGAATATATATATATACTTTATGGGTTCGGAGAAGTCTCCTTCTATGCGTTGCACATTTCCTGATCCTCTACAAAGGAATGAAAATGATTTTAACCCCAACTTCAGGCTAAAATCCATATTATTTTCAATTGAAAACTCTACCCGAGCTCAATTGAAATCATAATTTTTTACAGTGTATCTCCCAGCTAGCGTCTAGTTGGGCTCTTCGGGTCGGGTGTTAGGCGCTGCGTCAAAGTCGCAGACACCAAATTGTTGCTGTTGTTGAATTTTCCGATTTTCCTTTGATTTGAACGCTCTGCCATAAACTTTGCGGAGAAGAGACGCCCCTCTATACACACATACATACACACATACATACATACACACATACATATACATATGTATGTATATCTCTTGGGCTCTTATCGGGTCGACTTCAATTTGTTTTCAATTTACAACAATAACGTTTTAAGTATTTGTAAATATGATTTGTCACCTCACTTTGTTTGCATAATATACCATGTTATTAGAACTTTTTTTCCTTATTCATTTTCTTCCTCTTCTTTTTTCTATTTTTTATGATACGCGGCGAACTTTAACAATTTATTGAACTGTTTTCAACATTGTTGCGCATTTGATTATTAATGGTCTCTTTTATGGCAATTAATAACGAAATGTGGTAAAACTTCAGTTAAGTTTGATTTTGTCTAAGACCTAAAGCTTAATTCTTATTTTAAGCATTTTTGTCTTCATTTTAATGCAGCACACAATTTCTAAGCTCAAGAACGACTAAACTTACTTAAACGAGCTCTTGATATAATCATTTTGTGCTTCTATTTGGAACGTCTTGTTTTAAATATGAAAATTCTAAAATTAAGTTATTTTTGTTAATTTTTTATTATAATTTTTGCTGCATGATTGTGGAATCAAGTATTTTACCCACTTTTTAGGCCTATTTAAAGCTTGCAAATTCTTCAAATAATAATTTTTCATTTAAGCCAATCTTTTAATTCTATTCTACTATTTTATATATTATTAAGACATAGTCAAGAGGAACGTGTGCTTAAAACTTTTGAGAACAATAAAGTATTAATTTAAGCAAATTTATTGCAGAATAAAAATTGTTTTCCCTAAAGCAAGTAAATTGTTGTAAAGCTCAGAAACAGCCTAAAAGGTTGTAAGAGAGAGAGAGAGAGAGAGAAAGAAAGAAAGAGAGAAAGACAGAGAGAGAGAGAGAGAGAGAGAGAGAGAGAAAGAAAGATAGAGAGAAATAAAGACAGAGAGAGAGCTCAGAACGTCTCGTATCGTTTTTTTAAGAATGTTAAAGCTTACTTTAAGCTGACAAATTCTTGTTACATGTTAAACAAATATTCCAAAAAATATCTGTATCTCATCTCTATAATGTCTCAGAGAAGGGAATGCATATACGTATATCAAGACATTTAGCAACAATCTATTTAAATTTTCGGACAAGTAATAATTCCCCTCAATTAAGTAATTAAGTGACTAATTTCAACCTGTTCCTGCTGATAATATTGACGATATTATTGAACGTCATTGGGATTAAGCTCAATGCAAACTTCCGCTTTGAAATTTCGCAGTAAACGCAATAATGGAAATCATTCAGAAAAGCGAGTGCCATGTGAGCCGCAAGCATTCGTGAGTAACTCACAGTTATTCACAGTTATTCACGTTGGGTCACGTGAATATGGGAAGACAAACCCATCGGGGTTTCGGCTGGTCAGTTACACGCGGAGCCGTGCAATGGGGCGACAAGTGCTCCGACAGCAAATCAATTACTTTTCTTATCGCCCCACTAAAATCGCCAGCCAGAAATGATAGAGTAGACACTTCAGAAGTGCTGAAAAAAAGTGGAGAAAGAGAAAAGTCGGAAGATAGAGAGAGGAGACTAGCTACACTTAGCGAAAAAGACAAAGACTTGTGTGATGAAGTCAAGATAGCGCAGGTATAGAGAGGAGACTAGCTGCACGCGGAGAAAGCGCCAAGACTTGTGGGCATAAGTCAAAAACAAACGTCAGAATATAGTCGAAATTTTTTTTAAAATATGCACAAAATCCTTAATTTAAGTATTTCTATTTGAATTGTGAGAGAATTTCCATGATTAGAGGGAAGGAGCGGAAGAAGGAGCTGCACACTCTCAGAGAAAATATAGAGCAAAAGAAACCAAGTTGAAAAATGTCTTAAATTAAGCAAAATATTATTAATTTAAGAATTTGTTTTTTGAATGGCGAGCGAAATGGTGTGGGAGGAGGAAGAAGCTGCCCACATTCAGAGAAAATGCAAGGCATTTTGGTAGCGAAATGAGGAAAAGTTTGAAATGTCTTAAATTAAGCACGAAAATCTTAATTTAAGAATTGATTTTTTAATTGCAAAAGAGATGACGTAAGAGGCGTGAGAGGCGAGGCGTTGCCTAGTCTCAGAGAACTCAACGGATTTTCTTTTCGAGCTGAAGACAAGTTTGCAGTTTCTTAAATTAAGCAAGAAAGTCTTGATATGAGAATTTCTTTTTTAATTGGGAGAGAGATAGCGTAAGGTTGGGAGGGGGGAGAGAGGAGAAAAAAGACAAAGCATTTTATTTTGAAAATGAAATCAAGTGTGAAATTACTTAAGTTAAGCACAAAATTCTTATCTGAACAACTCTTTCTTTGAGCTGGTAATTTCTAGGAAATGCCAATGGTCTAAGAACTTGAAAGTAAGAATTTTAACTTAAATTGAACAGGTTTCATGCATTTTGCAATTGGGCAAATGCTTGTAAAAAGTAGTTTATTTATTTTTGTTATACTTACGTTGAAGATGAGCACAAAATATGCCCAAAATCTTAAAGAACTCTGTGAAATCTTCAAGAACTCTATAAAATCCTTGCGGAATTTGTAAATTTTCTGCAAGTGTAGCAGTTGTTAACAGGAGGGTTGCAACTGTTTTTAATAACAACATTTTAAAAAGCACTTAACAGCAAATTAAGCTTTCAGCAGGCAACTGACAACGCCAGCAGCAACGGCAAAAGCAACAGCAGCAGCAGCAAAAAGAAGACATTTTTAATTATCAACCATTTACAGGCAACAACAGCAACAGCAACAACAGCAACAATTGCCGGGGAAAAAAATTGCCGCTGGTGCATGGGTCAATATCATAATCTGAGGCAGCAACAAGTCGTGGCAGGCGGCAAGGGGCAGCAACGGGCGTCATAAATCAAAGCGACGCAATTTGCTGCTGACGAACTGCGCGAAACGGCAACAACAGCAACAGCAACAACAACTGCAATGCCTTTACTGCTGGCAACACTTGGGCAGCAACAGCTGCAGGCACAGCCACAGCAACAGCAACAACAGCAGCAGCAGCAGCAACACAATAATTCCCATCGTCAACACTTGGAGCCAACGGCGGCGGCAGCAGCAGCAGCAGCTATGTTGTTGCTGGAAACAGCAGCAGCAAAGACAACGACAGCAGCAACAACTACATCAGCAGCAGCAGCAGCAGCAACAAGCACGCCAATCATTGCTGCTGCAGCACTTGCAACAGCTTCATTGCCAGCAACAACAACACCTGCAACACCAACAACAACAACAGGTGTTAATGTTCAAATTACTGCCAAAGGCGTTGCTCGCTGCGAGTCTTCAGTCAACGATCAACTGCCGCCAGTCGCAACTGTGGCCGCTTCGGTTAATTATGCCGCTTACGTAGCCCATTTGAATGGCTTTAACCCAAAGCACAACACCAACACCAACAATAACAACAACAACAACCACAGTCCACCCCCATTTGAGAGCCTGCTCGAAAGACAGCCGCACATTCAAGTCAAGCAGGAGTTCATGGAGCCAATGGAGCAACGCAGCTTAAATTGCAGCAATGCCAGCAACAAGCATGCAGGTAAGTCTGTTTAGTATTTTTTTAATACCAAGCTTATATATAAACCCAAGATTGAGTATACTATATAAACGTATAATATATTTATTCTGCTGCAGCAGCAGCATTTGCTTGAAAATTAGAGCTGAAAAGGTTCAAACTTCGAGCTTGCTATCTTTTTCTCCACAATTTACAATTCTGGGAAATTCCATTTAAGAGCAACAAAAACCTAACCCTAACCTGACAGGTAGGGTATATATAAAAGTGATGCCTTATCAAAATGACAAAGTTTAAGTAAATAGGTTTTATATAACATAGATTATATAGTGTATTTACGTTTCTACCATTTCCACATGCATTTTGACCCGGAATGATGTTGTCAGATTTAGATGCCAAATTGATCTAGAGACCCAACCATGAACAAAAAGCCAAACATTATGAAATCGGATGACATTTGACCAAGTTATAGGGATGGGAAATTTTGACCGATGTCTATATACGAATCTTGGGGTAAGATTTGGACATGAATTTCGACTGAAAAATATGTGTTCAGATTTGAATGCCAGATTAATCTAGAGGGAAAACCATGAATAAAAAGCCAAACCTCGTAAAAATCGGATGAGATTTGACCGAGTTGTGGGGATGGGAAATTTTGACCCATGTCTATATAAGAATCTTGGGGTCAGACTTGGACATGAAGTTCGACTAAAAAATACTTGTTCAGATTTGAATGCCAGATTAATCTAGAGGAAAAACCATGAATAAAAAGCCAAACCTCATAAAAATCGGATGAGATTTGACCGAGTTGTGGGGATGGGAAATTTCGACCCATGTCTATATACGAATCTTGGGGTAAGATTTGGACATGAAGTTCGACTAAAAAATACTTGTTCAGATTTGAATGCCAGATTAATCTAGAGGGAAAACCATGAAGAAAAAGCCAAATCTCGTAAGAATCGGATGAGATTTGACCGAGTTGTGGGCATGAGAAATTTCGACTAATGTCAATATAGGATATTTCAAGGTACCATTTTCAAAATTTTTTTTATAAATATTTCATAGCTGAAAGATGAGAAAAGTTTTCTTTAAACTATTCAAAAAATGCCTAAAACAATTTTGTTTTATTATCAAATATATATTATATAAAAATTAATGTTGAATTTATTTTGAATTTGAAATCCAAAACATTTCAAATAATTTAAAACTTTATTAATTAACTACCTCATTTTTATAATTTTAACAAACTTCCGCGAATTTTCCAATAGTTTTCCTTCCTCGCCTAACTCTACATAAAAGTTCTTGCTTGTAGTTTTTGTTCTGCCCCCCCCCCCCCCCCCCCCCCACCTCCCCGCACCCCTCCCTCGACGGAGCACAATCAAATGACAAACATATATGTAGTTAAAAGGCCGTTAAGTGAAAAACGAGGTATTTACAATGTGTTAACAACAACATTGCCATTTTTCATGGCCTTAACCCCTTGACGACCCCCGGCCCGAGCCCGGCTCGTGCCAAACGCATGCTTATGAGATTTCTCAATATTTTATGCGTTTAAACAGATTTCATTTTTTATTGCGCGACCCCTTGTGCGAGACGAAGAAAAGGCAAAAGGTCGATGTCATCATCTTGATAGAGCCAAAAGATGTGACACAAGGGACAAGCCCGACAAGCTGGCTAATATTGCAAAAGGAGTCGCAGGACTCGCAAGGACTCGCAGGGACTCGCTGGGACAGACAGACAGACACAATCGACGCCCGGCCAAACGAGTGCCAAACATTTATGAAGATTGAAAGGGTTGTCAAACACTTCATCCATCTTAACCGCGACCCAAAGCAGAAGAAAAAAAATGAACCCAAAATAAAAAGGGGCTGCTGGCGAAAAAAAAGGGTGCATCGAATTGTCCTGTTGCTCGAGGAGCTGCCGTTTGGGAAACATCTTGTTTTCTTTCGATTATTGAAATTGCCGGCAATGCCCGTTTTATGATAGGTCTCCCCCCTCTCCCCTCTCTCTCCGAGCCACCTTTGAAGAGCTCTCTAAACTCTTTTACGCACTCGTGACCTCAATTGTATTTAAAAACCAGACCTCGCTCCCTGCTCCGCCCAGCCCCCTCCCCTTCTGTCTTACTATTTAAATAAGTCTCATTAGCTTCGGCTCTCGAGCTCCACATTCATCTTCATATTCAAATCCATTTCCTATTCAACTCTTTTTGGCGGAAATGCGTTCCTAACATGCAAAACGCACAAATGAAACGTCTTTAAGTGCCGCAATTATCAAAAAAAAAAAAAAAAAAAAAATAGTACATTTAATGTAAAACAATGTTGAAAAATACTCCAAAAGAGAGAGAAAAATACAATATCAAATCATAATACGAAGAAGCAGACAAAGCTAGAGCCACACGCGACCGGAAATGGCGAGCAATTTAACCAAATAAAATTTGACCGAAACACTTTTATACCCCGTTCGCATTGAAACAAAGGGTATAATGGTAATAAATATAATATTATGTGCATATATATTTATATATATTCGTCGATTGTTGAAGAGAGAGTATAGTAGGTAGAAAGACTTTATATAGTTATTCATTGATCTCGGTCTGTCTGGTTTTGGAGGGGACTGCAATGTGAATTAAATGCTGTAAGTGTTAAAGACTTGTCATTCGATATATTTAACCTCATATATATTAATAAATGTATCGATTTCTGTGCAATATCACCAACCGTTCTGTTAATATCGATAAATATCGATTTTGAACGAGCACTTTGGAACATTTCTCGCACATAACATTATAGAAGCCGGAGACAGCTATATATATGTGTGTGGGTCCCTGTGTAGTCGACACAGATCATTTATCATTTACTTTAATTGTTTCCCCATTTTCAAATGTCGATAACTATCGATCCCGAAAAAGGTGTTTATGAGAATATCATACACATTACATCACAGAAGCCAGATACAACGAAATTTGGAATATTTAAAAAGGTTCCTGTGTAGACCACACAGATGACCAAGTCCGATGTCTTCCCTCAATTTTAAAATATGGATAAATATCGATTTTGCAATAGCATTTTTGAGAATTTGTCACGCATTACATTATAGAAGCCTGAGACAACAAATTTGGTATACGTGTGGTTAACAAAGATTACCAATTTTTATTTTCAGTTATTCGATATCTCCCATTATTTTCAATATATCGATATATATCGATCTTAAATCGATAAATATAGATCTTAGAATAAACTTCATATTCTATTAATGGTAGCTCGTTGTCTCCCATAATTTCCATATATCTATAAATATCAATCATTAATCGAAAAATATCGTGTGCTTGTTCTGCCAGCTTCTCATTGGCTACAGGGCATCTGATAGTCGGGCACTCACGACCAGAGCACTCGCACTTGTTTATTGGATGTTTTGGTAGTTCATACGCTTCAATGGCGCACTGTGTGCAGCTACTAACTTGGCCATTACACAGCTTGCCGCCCCACCTGCCCGCCCTCCCCACCCCCTCTTCACATTCCTCCACCCCCCGTCCATACTGTCATTAATAATTTACCTTAAATGTGCAGCCAGTTACATGTACAAATGGCACTATATGACGTCCAGCACGTCAATGCTGCTTATGAGAAACCGAATCGACAGTCTCCCAGCTGCCCAGCTGGCAGTTGGGAATGTCTTTGCAGTCCACTTAACCATGGGAAAGCAACGACGGCGCCAAGATGCAATTGACAAGCGCACCGAAGAGAGATATAAAGACACAGATACAAATGCAGCTAAAGATGTGCTTATACTTGAAGACACAGCAACAGATGCAATTGAACTGCAACAGAAAACAATTACCAAAAGGCGCCTCAGCTCAACCCTCAAATGAGAGCATAACATCACAATTTGAACCAGCGTCCTCTCGCTTGCTATTTCAACGCGCAGACAGCTAAGCAAGGCGATTAAAAGGCGACTGAAAGTGCAAACGAATTAAAATGCACTCTCACATGAAAGCATAAAAATCGCTGCTAAATTTGAACCAGCGTCCTCTCCCACGCTAGTTCAACGCGCAGACAGCTAAGCAAGGCGATCAGCAATTGAACTGAAACCAAAACTATTTACCAAAAGCCGCTGCTAAATTTGAACCAGCGTCCTCTCGCTTGCTAGTTCAATGCGCAGACAGCTTAGCAAGGCGAGCTCGAGCCTTATCCAACTAACTGACAATTTACTTAAGCGATTAGCAAACCTCAATTTGAAGAGCGCATAAAACAAGTGCTGCCGGAAACAAGAAGAAGAAGAAGTAGAAGATGGAGAAAATCCCGAGAAATTTGAATGCCGCGGGATGTGCATTGTGGAATGAAAATGCGGAACGACAAAGGAAACGGCGCTAAACTCGACAGAAACGTCAGAAAAACCAACAACATTTCATTCAAAGATCAGAGACAAGACCACAAAACGCATCTGGCAGCGTGTAGGGAAAATATGCCCCAAAAGATACTCGAACCCGAACCCGAATGCGTATCTCGACTGATCGCCGCATGAATGAAAATAATTATGATAATTGCAATGGCAACTGAAGGAGAATGAAGGGGGGGGTCAACTAATTGTAGGCTCAGAGGTTCGTCGTTTAACCACAACGCTGGCAGAAACTGAAGAAGTTTCGTTTTGTGGGATAGAAAACTCAATAAATCCATTGTTGCGCTTAATTATTGTCGAAATTCAAATTGTACCTGTGCCCGACCAAAAAACCCGCAATCCGTAACCCCCTTCAGACTGCGTTTTTCCTTTTTCCCTACCTGTTTGATCATCATTTATCTTCGAGCGATGCGCAAAATTTGAATGCAGCTCCGACATCCGTCAGATACAAAACTGAAAAAAAAAAAACTGGCTGCAACTGCAACTGGGCTTCTTTTTCGTTTTCTTTTCTTTTCATAACATTTTTTTTTTTACCCACTGATCTCTCTATAAATGCATTGTGGATAAAAAATGAGTTTCGTGTGGAAATTAGATCCTATTTGGCGCAGCGTGTGATTAGCGCGTCCCTTTGA